ACTCAACCCCGGGGGGACCGACGATCTCCTGCCCCTTTAGCACTAACTTTAACAAACAGTTTAAAAAAAAATAAAAAAAGGGCAGCAAAATAACAACAACCCCAAAGACAAGAGAGTGAGTTAGGCGGGACACGGCTCGAAAAGGCAGCTGAAATGTTGGCGGCAACAGCCGAAAGGGTATCCCGCAGCAGCGCCGCTTCCCTCGGAGCTTTCTCCGGGGCCGGAGCCGCTGCCCGGCTGCGATAACCGGGACAGACCCGGCCCGCGCCGTCTGCGCCGCTATCACCCGCTGGCCTCAGACTAAACATTGAAGCGGCCTTAGTCACTTATTTACTCACTGGGATGGCAGCAGGGCTGCGGGGGAGGCTGTTTGTGCCCGCTGTCCCCGGCCGGGCCGCGGGCAGGCTGCAGCTCCCCCTGCCGCCCTGCAGGCCCCGCTCCTCCCCGGCCTGCCCGGGGGCCGCGGCTCCGTGAGGGGCCTGGGCTCGCGGGCCATGGGGCCGGGCCCGCGCTCGGCTGCCTCAGGGCTGTGCTCGGCAGAGCTGCCCCGGAGTTGTTGCCGGCTCTGTTGTCTCTATGTGGACCAGGATCCTGTACCACTCCCGGGGCTCCCAGCCACTGCTCCGGCCGGGAAGGAGCCAGGGAGAGACGAGAGACACAGCCTCGCCTCTTGTTTTTGGGGTTGAGATTCTTGTTAGGGAGTGAAAAAGGTCTGAGTGCTACTCCCAGTGTAGAAATGGTCACAGAATGATTTGTCACCTTGACAGGGAAGTCTAGGACAGGCAACTTCAGGGCTTGTACTTTCCTTCACTCACACTCGAGCTCCAGCTGATGCTGAGTGCCAGTGGCAAAGGAAGGAGGGGAAAAGGAACAAAACCCCAGGCTGAGCCCCTGTGCTCTGCCCAGGGCCTCGGGGGCACGGTGCCCCTTCCTGCACTGCTGCAGGTACCCCAGGAGCCTGTCAGCGGCAGGGCTGCAGGGACATGCTGCTGCTGCTGCAGCTCTTTTCCCCAGCCCTGCCTTTCCCAAACATTGCCCTCCTCTAGGAGGCTCTGCAGGTCCTGCTGCCCCAGTTTGTGTGGGGGGTTAAGGAGCTTGAGGTGCACGGCAGCACCCTTGAGGGGCTGGAGCTGAGGAGGGCTCTGCCCGCTCCTCACGGATGTGCTGCCCATGCCCAGCGGGAGGACACACGGGTGTTTGTGTCACAGCATCCCAGACACATGTGGGACCATCCACAGGTTGGACAGAGCATCCACAGACAGGACAGAGCATCCACAGATGGGTCTGAGCACCCAGAGAGAGGTCAGAGCACCCACAGACAGGACAGAGCACCCACAGAAAGGTCAAAGCACCCACAGACGGGTCAGAGCTCCCCAGGTCAGAGCACCCACAGACAGGTCAGAGCACCCACAGACGGGTCAGAGCACCCACAGATGGGTCAGAGCATCCACAGACAGGTCAGAGCATTCACAGACGGGACAGAGCACCCACAGACAGGACAGAGCCCCCACAGACGGGTCAGAGCACACACAGGTGGGTCAGAGCATCCACAGGTGGGTCAGAGCATCCACAGGTGGGACAGAGCATCTACAGATGGGACAGAGCATCTACAGAGAGGTCAGAGCACCCACAGACGGGACAGAGCACCCACAGACGGGTCAGAGCACCCACAGACGGGTCAGAGCACCCACAGACAGGACAGAGCACCCACAGACGGGTCAGAGCACCCACGGGTGGGTCAGAGCACCCACAGACAGGACAGAGCACCCACAGACGGGTCAGAGCACCCACGGGTGGGTCAGAGCACCCACAGACAGGACAGAGCACCCACAGACGGGTCAGAGCACCCACGGGTGGGTCAGAGCACCCACAGACAGGACAGAGCACCCACAGACGGGTCAGAGCACCCACAGACGGGTCAGAGCACCCACGGGTGGGTCAGAGCACCCACAGACAGGACAGAGCACCCACAGACGGGACAGAGCACCCACAGACGGGTCAGAGCACCCACAGACAGGACAGAGCACCCACAGACGGGACAGAGCACCCACGGGTGGGTCAGAGCTCCCCGGGTCAGAGCTCCCTGCTCTGAGCACTCCTGTCTGTAGGGCAGTGCCACGGGGACAAGGATGGGTGGCTCAGCAGCAGCTCCTCATCAGAGCATCCCCTTGGCGGAATCAGCTTCTCCCAAAGCATTTGGCATTCTGCAGTGGGGAAGAGCTAATGGGGAGTTCTTCCCTTCAGTGCTGCAGTGGGTTTGAGTGGAAATTCAAACTAGGCCAGGGTGCAGTGACAGCGCTGGTTCAAGGGGAAAATGGGGCCTGATTGTGGCTCAGGTTTGGTTTGACTGATTGCATCCAGGAAATCCTCCCACTGTGCTCTCCGGTTTCTGATCCTGCTGTGTTAAATGGCTATTTGGCTAAATTGCATTATTTGAATCCAGTGGGCTTCATTTAACCTGGTATTAAAATGCATATTTGGGCTTTTAAATTTGATATGAAGACAGCTGTATGCATTTTCCCTTGTTTGTCAATTGCATACATATGATACAATGTTTTCAGTAAGCGCTAAACAATGCAATGTGAGGCATTTCAACAAAGGAATAATTTAATGCAACCCAGCAGAAATGCAGAGCCTTAGAAGTGGTTCTTTATGAAACTACAAATTTTGGAAATGAGTCCAGAAGACCTACACTGGAGCAACACAAGAAACAATAGTTAACACAGTAACATTTTTCCTGTAAGAAAAATACACCATGAAGAAATTATATTTTGCCTATTTTATTTTAGTTTGTTGATTTACTTGAATGCTTTAGTTGGCATATTTTCTTTTGGTTGCATGGTAGGGATTAAAATTCTCGTTTCTTCACCAAAAGAGAATATTGTCACACAAGATGCACTTTGAGCCAAACGAGATTTTTTTTTTTGGTCAAGTATAAATTTGTCTCACATATTTTGTTCCAGTTCAAAGAAAATTAACACACTGTTACATTCTTTTCATCTTCAGTTTAGCTTTAGCAGAATAAGACACATTTCCTTCCTAATCTTCTTCAGAGTCACAACTTGCAGGGGCACAAAGTCCCTACTTGCACAGGTGGAGGATGGGTTAGGAAGGGCTGCACATTTGTTGGGGCAAATTATTAATTTTTTGTTATTATTTAAAAATTATTAATGAGCTCTGCTGGAGCTGATGGGAGCCTCAGCTCCCACCTTGCTCAGAGCCTGGGTGAGCCATGGGCTCTCGTGGTGATCTGGGCTGGGTTAAGGAATAGAGAGAGAGTGAGTAGCTGGTACTTCCTGCTAAAGAAAGGGAGCAATACTATGTGTAGGAGATGCACTGGGATAAATGCATCAGAGCAGCAACAAAATACTCTTTGTAACTGAGCTGAGGGAATGACCTCCACACAGCCCTGAGGGGGACCTTCCTGCACACAAACAGGTAAAATGTTACACAGCTACCAGGGGGACTCTGTCTACAGCTCCAGCAGAGCTGGGTGTTATCCTTGGGGAAGGGAGAGAGGGATAAATGGCATCCTGGACTGCAGGTAGGATGTGCTTGGAGATCACTGCTGCTCACTCTTGCTCTGGGGTCTCTTATCAGAGGATGACACAAATTAAAATGCAGGGGTTTTCAGTACACAGGAAAATTGAATGAAGGCACCTAAGTCTTCCCAAAAAAATCTGTGACTATGTAGCACTTCCTGAAGTTGATAGAGAAATGCATTCATGGTAAATTAATGAATCCAGCAGCCCTGGCCATAATTGGCATTTTCAAGACTTTTGATTTAAAGCCTCAAAATGTGTCTCAGATTCAGCCCCATTGATAGGGCTACAGTTTGCCCAGGTATGCAAGAAGCTGCAGATTTTCCTGCTCCTGTAAGGCAGACCTGAAGCTGCTGCAGGCTGGGACTGAGCCCTGAAACCAGGAATAACCACCTTGCCCTGCTGGTTTGTGGCTCCCGAAGGCAGCAGTGTGTGCAGAGCCCCCAGGCTGTGCACAGCGATGGGTGAGAGGGTAAAGCATGGCAGAAATGGCAAAACCCATTTCCTCCTTCCTTCCTGTGCATGCTCAGGGCTGTCTGGCTTCGGGGTGCATGGCAGTAGGATTGTTGTGTGTACGAGCACGTGCTTGCCCATGTCACAACAGCCAGAGGTGTGGGTTTGTGCTCAGGGTCTGTGCTCAGTGTTTATGGTCAGTGTTTGTGCTCAGGGTTTATGCTCAGTGTTTGTGCTCAGGATCTGTGCTCAGTGTCTGTGCTCAGTGTTTGTGCTCAGGATCTGTGCTCAGTGTCTGTGCTCAGTGTTTGTGCTCAGGATCTGTGCTCAGTGTCTGTGCTCAGTGTTTGTGCTCAGGATCTGTGCTCAGTGTCTGTGCTCAGTGTTTGTGCTCAGGATCTGTGCTCAGTGTCTGTGCTCATTGTTTATGCTCAGGATCTGTGCTCAGGGTCTGTGCTCAGTGTTTATGGTCAGTATTTGTGCTCAGGGTTTATGCTCAGTGTTTGTGCTCAGGGTCTGTGCTCAGTGTTTGTGCTCAGGGTCTGTGCTCAGTGTCTGTGCTCAGTGTCTGTGCTCAGTGTTTGTGCTCAGGGTCTGTGCTCAGTGTCTGTGCTCAGTGTCTGTGCTCAGTGTTTGTGCTCAGGGTCTGTGCTCAGGATCTGTGCTCAGTGTTTGTGCTCAGGATGTGTGCTCAATGTTTGTGCTCAGGATCTGTGCTCAGTGTTTGTGCTCAGGATCTGTGCTCAGTGTTTGTGCTCAGGATGTGTGCTCAATGTTTGTGCTCAGTGTTTGTGCTCAGTGTTTATGGTCAGTGTTTGTGCTCAGGATGTGTGCTCAGTGTTTGTGCTCAGGATCTGTGCTCAATGTTTGTGCTCAGTGTTTGTGCTCAGGGTTTGTGCTCAGGATCTGTGCTCAATGTTTGTGCTCAGTGTTTGTGCTCAGGGTCTGTGCTCAGGATCTGTGCTCAGTGTTTGTGCTCATTGTTTCTTCTCTCTCTCTCTCCAGTCGAAGACCGCCCCCTTCACCTACTCGGCCCACTGTAATCCGTCCGTTAGACTCCTCCCTGTTAGACTAAAAGGAGTTTCTGGCATGTCACTCGTTGTTAACCAAATATGTGGAAACAAATTGCTTGGTAACTGTCACAATAACCAGTGTATAGTCGCATGTATGGACATCTCTAGGCAAGTAACCAATTTTACTGATATTCTCTGTCCATTCTGCATTGTTTATGAGGTCTTCAATGTTTGGGGAAGGTCTGTGCTGCCTTGACTTTTCCTTCTGCAATAACTGATGTTATCTAACTTACTGACACATATCTCCACCCAGACAACTGTGCTCACAGTCCTCCACAGCAGCTGGAGGGCTTGACTCTGTGTGTCTTTGTGCATGTGTTGATTTATCTGCTGCTTTTTTTCTCCCTTACCTGACAGGAATCTTGCTTTTATTTATACCTTCTAGGTTTTCTATTTTCTCTTGTAATGGCTAAACTGGGCAAAGAAAAGCCATGTGCTTTCTTACCAAGCTCTTCTGAAGGTCCCACACTTGCAGGTCTCTCTTGTAAGAGACTTGCTTCTCCTGTAAACTGTCCTTATCCAAATTTTAGTTTTAAGGAATGTTGTTAAACAAGCAGAGTGTGTATGGGACAAGGCACATTTTGCTGTATGCCCATCCTGGCAGCTGCCACGCCAGGTTGGTTGGGTTGGTGAGGAGCAGGCTGGGGTGCCCCAGCTCACAGGGAGCTGTCCCACCCCACAGCCAGGAGGGGACAGGGTGGTTGGGAGGGCTGGGGCGTGACACAGCAGCTCCCTCTGTCCCTGCTCCCACTCCTGCTCCGACTGTGCTCCTGGGAAGCACTGCAGGGGAGTGAGTGCATGGAGATGGGCTGTGGGCAGGACCCAGGGAACTGAGCACTGCTTTTGGTCCCTTTGTGACCCAGAAGGACACAGAGACACACACACATGCACAGCTGGGCTGGGTCCCCCTCCTGTGCCCACCGTGGGGGCTCCAGCCTGGACTGGCAGCTGAGCTTCCCAAGGCTTTGGATGTGAGACATTTGTGATATTTTCACATGCCAGTCAATAAAGTCTCCCTGTGTCCCCCGTGTAAAGATTTTCTTTTTGCATTACATGGTCCTTGCACACACCTTGGTTTACTGTTGCTTTATCCAGCTAAGTTCTGGGAAGTGCTCAGCTGTGCATCCTGGATTATTTTAGCAGCTGCTCACTTGCAGAGGTGCCCTCTGCCTCTTGTTTTGCACGTTATAAATTAATGCATTATAAAAACCTTTTGTCTTAACTGCATTACTTCACTTTAAACACTTAGGGTCAGTGTCACCCTTAAAGCTTAGAACTTACCGAGTTAACATAATGAAACTAGAGAGGAATTTGGCCTTGTTCCTTTAGAAAATATGAATTGCTGCTATTAAAATTATGCTTACAGATCCCTTGGCAAAGCAATTGGTGGTTTCAAAGGCCCCCAGTACAATCAGTCTAATAAATGTATTTATTGAGACTGCTTGTAGGGCTCCAGTATGCTGTAGCCCCATGGTTAGGAAGAAGAGAGACGAGCTTGGGACAGCATCATGATTTGTGTATTAGTTTAACTTCCATTTCCTGCCAACCCCATACTGGTGCCACACTCCTGGGGAGTCTGGAGGTCACATGTGAGGCACGGTGGAGATGGAGTTTGTCAAGCCCTGGCATCCTGGTGATCTCAGCAGATGCTGCTGTTTGTTTGGGGAACAGGTCCACATCTCCAGTGCCAATGCACAGAATCAGCTTTCAAGGTTGAAAACACAACCACCCACAGTCATACTAATTTTTACTACAAAAAAGAAAACATATTTTGATGATTCTTGTCCTCTACACAGCTTTCCACTGCTCAGTGCTCTCTGCTGTAGGCTGTGCTGCATCTGTTGGATACATTTTTGTGAATAGCCACAGTAGCCCATATTGTTGCCTTGCCAGCACTCCTGTATTTCCAAACAGTTGAACAGAACTCTGCTACTGACTGGCAGCTGCCTGCTGATGGGAAGCCATGTTAAATGCCTGAGCCACAGAGATCACTGATATCACTTCTGATAGCAGAATATCAAATTTTGATACATGGTGATAGAAGACCAGGATGGATGGGTCTTTCAGCAGCCTGGTCCAGTGGAAGGTGTCTCTGCTCATGGCACCATCCATGAGCAGGGACCAACCCAACCCACTCCAGGACACTGCAAGGCCACGGTCTGGGTTTGTCCCACCACAGCCCAAGGACTCAGCTTAGCTGTCCTTTGTCCTTTGATGACCATGGAGGGGATTCAGGCCAGGGTGGCTGCAGGGGACACGAGGCAATGCTGGTAATTCAGGAGCCTCAATTACGTGGCACAGCTCCTGGCCTAAAATTGTGCTTTTAAATGCTCCTTTCTTGAGACTCCCTGATTTACTTTAATGACTCTTTCTGCCAAGCATAAGGAAAGAGGTGGCACAACTGAGCACTGTCCTTTTCTCTGCCCCCAGGGAACTATTTCTCAGAAGTACTCCTGAATTGTAAATAAAGTTCTCAAGGGTGGATTTACCCGAAAGAGCAGGAGGAGGCAGTGAGGCATCAGCACCATCTGGTCCTGTACTTGATGCTGAGGGTGCAGGACACACCTGCACAGCCCTCCTTCCTCTGCATCCTCATTGAGATCTCATCTACATCTGGCCCTGGGCCCTAAATGCAACACTTTTAGGTGTGCAGGTTAATAAAAAACCATAAGCACAAATCCAGGGGTTGATGATTTCACCTCTTCTTGCGTATGTGCTTGTGAGAATAAACCACAGAAACTTTTTTCTAGGAAAACCACTTGAATGCTTCCCAAGAAATTGCCACATCCAGTTGAGTAAGTTCTGTCCTGCAGCCTTGGCCCACTTCCTTCTGCTCTAGAGTGCCTGGAATGGGTTTGTTTGTCCACTTGCTCCTGATGCTGGCTGTCCCATCCATCCTATCCTTTGTTCTTGGAGGAGCAGCCTTGGCAGCAACTGACTCCATGCCCAAAGGAAAACAGGACAAGCTCCCTGTGGGTCTGCCAGAGGGACTGGGCACCTCTGCAGAGCACTCAGGTGGGATGAGCCAGGCCTGAGCTCCGTGTCTGTGGGGCACAGGTTGCTCTGCCCCTCTCTGCTTCCCTCTGGCACAGCTCTGCTTGCCAGGGCACAGTGGAGCAATAATGAAGCAACACCAGAGTTTCTGCCCTTAGGTGAGGTGCACAAAGATCTGGGTGGTGTAGTTGCTAAGTTTCAGGAGGGTGCTCATCTAACACTGCATTTAGGCTGAGCCTGGATCTCTGCCCAGGGAACATTTCCACCTCACCCCACTGTGGCTGACCAAAAGAGCTTGTGTGTGCTGTGAACAGCTCTGGGCCTGGGATCTCAAGGGATCTTGTGCCAGGGTTAAAAAGATTGTATGTTCAACAAAAAGGCTTATGTACATAGTTAATGTGTGTTTATTTTATTGCTGATCTTGTTGCACTTTCTGAGTAAGTCTCCTAGAAGTAGATTATTTATTATATTAAAGAAGATACATTATAGGTTATGGCATTTCATGTTCAAGTATAACATAGAAAATATTATCCTCCCTGTTCCAGAGAGCTCCACTAACCATGATGTGTACAGCATATTGACATTCCTGACTAGTTCTGTCCTTCTGTCTTAAAATAGCCCAAGCCTCCCGACCTGAGAGCAGCCCTGCTTTGTGCCTGTGCCAGCAGGGAGCCTACCAGTGCCCTCCTGGCACAGCTGCTCCTGCTGTGGCCCTGCCGCCGCTCCCAGGCTGCTGCAGAGCAGCTCCCTTGTGTAAATGAATGTTACTCTGCCTGTCTTTCCTCTTGCTTTGTCTGCAGGCGAGCTGATGCCGACGGCTCCTCCTCCCGTCCCGACAGCCCTCCACTCTTGCTTGATCTATGATTTGTCCCGCCTTGCCGGCCGTTTGCTTTACTGCTGTCTCTTTACTTTTCCAGGACAGGCTAAACGATGACTTCTTTTTTGTAAGAAGCAAACGCTTAATTTCTTTCTGAATTTTTTTCTTTTTTTTTGCTCTGTATGTTGATGCCCTACTTGATGTGAGCCAAAACATCTGCCTTTGGTTTCGTAATCTGTAAATGGTTCCTGGTGTTGACCTTTGAGCACAGCGAGTGGATTCCCGAAACCGTGGTCATCACTGAGCATCACATACACCTGCTGTAAAAATGTTATGCTGCATTTCTGAACCTGAAATAAACTCTCATTCTCGATGGGCTTTTATTATTACTTTCTGCATGTGTGTGAGTGGTGTCTTCTGTCTCTTGCACCACCATCTCAGCATTCCACAGTGCCTCGGTGGGGACCGCAGGGAGGATTTATTGGAGGTACTGCTGTGCTGAGATCACTGGAGATGTCATTAAACGGGAGGGGAACCCCTTGGGAAGCATCCAGCCTGCTCCCCTGCAAGGGCCTTGGAGTGCTGCGGAGATGTTGTGCTGGGAAATGGATGAATGTTTTACAAGCAGTACCTGAGGTTCACTGCATTGCTGGGGAAAGCACGTTCAGAGGAGTTTCAGAGCTGAGCAGAAGACCTGACTCAGTCCTCCAAAGCAGGAGCTGGACTTAAAATATGCCTGAAAGGGATTTCCCCCTAAAGATTGTGTACAAATGTGCAGATGTCCTGATCACTCAGTTCCTCCTGCAGATCAGGACGAGCCAAGTGTCTGCAATCAGTGCTTGGAGATGGTCTGGAGGGCACAAAGAGCGCAGCAGCTTTCTCTGGGAACCCCACAGTGGGGGTTTTGGGAAAGAAGGGAGCAAAAGGTGGGATGAGCACAGCAGGAACATCCCTGCTGTTTCCTGTAATATTTGGAGATTTCTTTATTGGTCATTAATGTGGCTGAGGCAGTTTGTGCCCTCCCTCTGAGGGAATAGCAGTGTCCCACGTGTCCCCTCTGGCTGGAGCCCCTCGGGTCCCCCTGGTGAGCCTGGAGCCAGGAATGTTGGTCAGGGCAGCTCAGTGCCCTGTGCTGGGTACCAGGGCAGCTCAGTGCCCTGTGCTGGGTTCCAGGGCAGCTCAGTGCTGGGTACCAGGGCAGCTCAGTGCTCAGTGCTGGGTGCCAGGGCAGCTCAGTGCTGGGTACCAGGGCAGCTCAGTGCTCAGTGCTGGGTGCCAGGGCAGCTCAGTGCCCTGTGCTGGGTACCAGGGCAGCTCAGTGCTGGGTGCCAGGGCAGCTCAGTGCTCAGTGCTGGGTGCCAGGGCAGCTCAGTGCCCTGTGCTGGGTACCAGGGCAGCTCAGTGCTGGGTGCCAGGGCAGCTCAGTGCCCTGTGCTGGGTACCAGGGCAGCTCAGTGCCCTGTGCTGGGTGCCAGGGCAGCTCAGTGCTGGGTGCCAGGGCAGCTCAGTGCCCTGTGCTGGGTACCAGGGCAGCTCAGTGCTCAGTGCTGGGTGCCAGGGCAGCTCAGTGCTGGGTACCAGGGCAGCTCAGTGCTCAGTGCTGGGTACCAGGGCAGCTCAGTGCCCTGTGCTGGGTGCCAGGGCAGCTCAGTGCTGGGTACCAGGGCAGCTCAGTGCCCTGTGCTGGGTGCCAGGGCAGCTCAGTGCTGGGTGCCAGGGCAGCTCAGTGCTCAGTGCTGGGTGCCAGGGCAGCTCAGTGCTGGGTACCAGGGCAGCTCAGTGCTCAGTGCTGGGTACCAGGGCAGCTCAGTGCCCTGTGCTGGGTGCCAGGGCAGCTCAGTGCTGGGTACCAGGGCAGCTCAGTGCCCTGTGCTGGGTAGCAGGGGCAGCAGCTGCTCTGTGCCCTCACTGCCCCAGGGCTCTCCAGCCTTGTTC